AGCTTATGGGGGACTACATTAAAAAACAGAATTTCATTTAGAATTTTCTAGCTTTTCCTTCAAACCTATACAGAGAATATTTTGAACACCCCTCACAGATGATATTTTGGGTTGGATGGCTTTCTTTGAGAGCTGAACTCAGCCCACACGAGACCAGTGTGTTGAGTTCTTCATGGACCGAATTGAAATGACGAACTGTGCCATTACGGCACGTCCTACCGCTGGGGACAATCTTCGAAAAATACGACCTCTCTTCTGATACTTCCCCATCCTTACTACCGCTTTCCTGGTATTTCCCGACTTTTTAATACTTTTTCCAGTTTTTCCAGAATTCTCAGAAAGTTCTGTTTTTTCCGAGAATTTTGCAGTCGAGTGGGGGAGAAGGTAAGACCGCAAAATGTCAACAACCAGGAAAAATTCTTTCCCGCTCCGCAAATTCCTCTCAAAAGCAAAAGCAAGCAAGAAGACAAGTAATACTACCCCAACCTTATAGCGTCCTTCGAACAAGAAAAATCAACAGTCAAAAAATTTCCTCAGGCTAAATATGATCCCCCTTCAGGCTCTTAAACCCTACCCGGCCCGCTGCTCATTCTGCAACGGACGGCGTGTTCTGGTGCTATTTGTTCCCGCTTGCAAAATATGGTGATAGCTGCTGCTATGTATCCAACTTTGGTTCAACATTTTACTTTGTGTCTGAATTCGCTGACATGAGATTTATGGCCTTCGACCTTGGACCTGGTGGCTCACGTTCAACCTAATCTTTGGGAATCATTGAGCTGTACAACCTGTAGTCAGTGGCGAAGCATAAGAGCAGGAGGTCATACTCCTGTAGATGGACCCCAGTCCCCCACATCTTCGTGATCTGCTAAATAATATCCGACTTTGCTGCAACCTCTTTCTTTTTTGTAGGAGTGCAGGTCGTGAGAGTTACAAGTTTTCATGTGAGTGGCAAGAGGCGCTTGCGGTCTGCAGCTACTCACTTCCTTTTAGTCACTCGAGCGCCTTATGGAAACTGTTCTAGACTACCAATCTTGGACATCAATCTTGCTTGTATGCTAGGGACACTAGCCTAGGGGATGTGCGAGGGAAGTCCAAGAAACATGTAATTGGTGACGCTTAGCACCTTTTTCGTCTCCATCGAGTAACGAGAACTCGATTGTTTGGGCTTGGCAGAACGTTTTCAAATCACCATTAAGTGAGAATAACTGAGAAACTCAAGGCTGAAGAGGAAGATCGCCCTGAAGAACATATTCTCAACTGAGATATGATATCTTCCAGCTGAGACTAATGGATCGATCTATGTGTGCTTCAATTAACAAATAGTTCATTGAAAGTGGTCTCGAACAAAGGTGTTGAATTTCTGTCACTGTCACGCACCGTTTCAGTCCTCACCTCTCGCAAATGGATCCGCGACCACCCGCGTTAGGAATGTTCGCACTTTGACGGATATTGACGAGCGTATCTTCTCTTATTGGCTTTTTACCGACGAATTAGTGTGGTAGTGCGGTAATTATCCGGTTGAAGACCGTTAGAAAGGCTATTCAGTAGTGGGAACAAATGAAGTTCACATCGCAAAAAAGCGATTCCTAGTATGGGGACAAAATTGCTTCAAATGAGATACCGGACGCACCAAGGAGAAGCCAGACGGAAACAATTTTGACGTGTGCAAGTCTAACATGAGTCCAAAGTAATTTAACTCGCTGTCCTAAGGGAATACAAGCGCTAAATTGAACAAGGTCTGTACGTTCGCGAAGCAACGTAGCAACCGCTTCATAAGGAAGTCGCTGATTCTCCTGTTTCACTTATGACGTGAACACCAAAGGTCATCAAGGTATTGGCAATAATTTAGCCACTGTTTGTTTCGATCTGGTGGATCACTATATAGAAACGAAACCTTAGACCATGCTCAGAGCCGTCACGATTTCCAGCGATTCTGTTTATGGTTTTACATAGGGAGTATCCCGGTAACGGTTCCATGGAGGTTCTCAGTGCGAGTTTTTATTATGGGACGCTTCAGTCCTCCTTGTCCTTGGAGCCAATGCTGCTCCGCAATCGAGTCGTGAATTCTTGGATCTCCCTCCGCTCAGTTCGATGCATGCTCCGCCCGCAATGTGCGTGTCTATCTCACCTCAACAGCTGAGCTCCTGCACATCTCTGCTCACACGTTGACAGTGTCTGGAACTGTTTTACGGAATTTTCGTCTGGCTCCGCCCACAACATGCATGCCCCACATTTCTTCTCGCAACCATTCGATGACATTCATACAATTTTTCCGGTGTCTGGGCGCTCTGAAACCGTTTGACAGATTCTTTTCGTCTGGCCCCGCCCACCTTAGAGCAAGCCCGCCCATAATATGAGTGCCCCACACTTCTCAATCGGCCAGGCCTGGCTGACTTTAATCCTGTTAATCCTCGTTTTTCCAGTCACTAAAGTGTCCTGGAGCCGAGCTAGAAACTTTGAAATGAGTATCCCGCGGTAGCTAGCTAATGAAGCTAGCTCCGCCCACTGTAGACAGTCTCAACACGCTTCAAGAGTGCCCAACACTCGCCAGGTATTGCCCTTCCGCATCGAGTTTTGCGATTTCCGAACACTCTCGCGAAAAGAGTTAATCCGTTTTGTGGGAAGCACCGCCCATCGCATGTACGCCCCTCCCATTTCTGGTGTGTCTCCCCCTCCCTGTTTGCGACGTGACACATACATACGTTCGGGCGTACATAAATAAACACATACTTACATGCAATTGGTATCACCGCAATCAGTCGGTACCCACGTGCGGCCTTTCCGTCGCTGGTTGTTTCATTCCAGAATCGATCCTTACCCAATCACCATTTGTAGAGCTGGACTGGCAAAGGCAGCTTCATCTCGCTATTCTCACTCCTTCCCCGACTGATTGCAAAGTTACAAACTATACATGCATGTATACATATATTGGTTGTATTCGTATGTTCACGCATACGTACAACATACATGAGGACCGACGAACCGGCACACGAATTCAGCAAATAGAGATTGACCCGTTCAGTAGTGGTAGAACATTGCCGTAGCATCCCCGCAAAAAACAATATGAGAGCGGGTGTTCTTTCTCGGGTTGAGCACGACTCCAGTTCCACAAGTGCATTTTCGACACAATATATGTGTTGGCACAGCGGATAGCGTATCTGCAGCAGTCCGCAACATCAGAAGCGCATTGGGGGAGGTCGCTACCCTCACCACTACCGTCCACCGCTGGTTTGGCTATTTCCCTTCGAAAAGACAACATCTATGAAATCAAACTCGGACGGAAAGCCCTCCGCACAGGAAGGTTCGCCATTCTTGACGCCGTCGACGCGGATCGTAAAATGCCACCGCTAGTCTCGCGACAGTACGCAATCAGCAGCCGTTGATCTCCTACAAGCTCTCCGCCACCGAGAAATGCCAGTTCTACTCACGCTTTGACGCAGAGCATGCGAAATATTCGGATGCCCATCGTCAGTCTCTTCTTCTCAGTTCCCATCGCAAGGATCCCGTAAGAGGATGTGTTGATCCGCTGCGACTCCAAGTCACACCGTGTCGCTTGGCTGTCTTGAAGTTAAGAGTCGCCCACGCGAGCGAAATCGGATGTGCACCTCTAGAGAAAACTGCTGCAGCTTTCAAGACTAAGAAGACTGTTGTACAACGAGAGAGTACAAGGTCACTGGCATGCGGCAGTGGGATGACTCAGCGGCTCAATTTTTCACTAAGCTTAACACGTTCGCGGCGGCGTGTACTCCCGGGAGTACACGCGCCTATTCGCTGGTTTTTTGTATTTTATTTTCTTTTCCACTAACAATTGGATATAAATAATAATCAAACAATAGAGAAATAATATCCACACATTAGAAGAGGCGTGTATACCTGAAAAAATACTCAAAAACTTTCTTTTTAGGCGAATCGTGCATTCTTGGGAGTACACGCGCCTCTTCCCTCGCTTTTTGATGTTTTTTTTCTTCTTTTCACTGGCAATTATAAACAAATCATAAAATAAGTAATATACAAGTAACACTAAGAACATTTCTCTTGTATTTTTTGGAAACACCAAAAGGGCAGGAAAGCTAATACATTCACAAACAAAACAAACTACAACAACTACAAACTTAGATAAAACTTGTAGAAGGGGGAAAATGTAAAAAGAATGGCGAAAAACGGCCTTCGTTAATTTTAGGCGTTCATGGTTCCGTCGCGAGCGCGCAACCATGAACGGGATGACTGCCTAAGTGTCGCCCGGCGAACGCGTCGTTCGACAAACGGGAGTTTTTGACGAAACGGCGCCGCCGCGAACGTGTTAATGATGAAAGATATTTCATGGTGGTAGTGGCAATATCGTTTGCTGCTCTTTAAGACATCTCTGTAAGCAGCTGCCATGCACCTGGAATGCAATTGACTAGAGGTCTTATATGATGTCACTACTGGTAACAGACGATGGACGAGTTCTGCTTGAACTAATGTAAGCTGATACTCGGTTTTATCGATCACACTATGGCTGTAATCACTGCGGCGGATTTCCTCATGCCAACGTCGCTTGCAGCTCTTTCCAATTGCTGTCACTTCCTGCTACTTAGCATAGTATCGTTGTCCCTATCCCATACCGTCTTGTTCGCTGCGGCCCACGCGGAGCGTCAGTGAGATTGGCTTTGACGTACGGGCACCCATTCCTCCAGCACTGAATCGGTTAAGCAACAACAACTGCTGAAAGACGATCAATATGAACAATTCGATAAAATTTAGTAGTTCGCCGAAAGGAAATACTGGGTGGCGCTGACGATAAGATTTTAGTAGTTCGCCGAAAGGAAATACTGGGTGGCGCTGAGTCGAATCCATTCCTATCACCCACAATCGGTGTCACTTCCCCAGTTCCTATGGTCCACTGTTGCTGTGACTTGCATCATGAATTTAATGACCCTCTATTTCCAAGGTTTTCTAAGCTGCTATACTCCCTGACATTCCCACTAAAGTTCCGTCCTATCCCCTGTATCACTTCTTGGAACCGACATGCTGCGATGGGCGCTATGAATTTCGTCGCACACAGACAGACGCACCGTACTTACATACTCAGCGGATTATCGACGTAGCGTTGCACAAATCAACCCGGGAGAAATGAACGAACAAGGCATTTACGTCAGCGTGCTCCTCAATAAGTGAGGGCTGCGCGACGAATACAGCAGCGTGCATTAGTCAGATGCTTTGAAAACCATAATTCTCTGATGAAGTAGGCCCCATACTTGTTGTTAATGCTTCCTTTGTCAAGAAACCTTGCTTTCCGGGGCATGGCTACATCAGCGGTCGCTGGGTTCTTCGGATCTCAGACTCCACATTCTCGGGTAAATGGTCGCTGATCTGCCAGCTATCTGGGCCACAGTGGTGACTAAGAATGGTGATCACCGTTCTTGCTTGCTTCCCATTGTACGCTGGGAAAAAATAAAGAGAAAAAAATCAAAATGCTTTAATCCTTTTAGATCAATCTAATTGATTACGTGGGTTAGGGCACCACTGGAAACCTCGAACGTTTCCTCTCTCTTCCCTCTTCTGTAAGCAAACCCAAGAGCAGTGCACTCGTATTTTACGAGCAGATGGTCAACTTCTGGTTCGGCATTTCCGATTCACAATGTAGGACAGTAGTAGTGAGCTCGCACATAAGTGAATCTATTTATGATTGTAGGCTTGATCAGTTGGACTCCGATGATCGTGAAGAACTACATCGCTGCTCGAAGCAAGCCTACACAGTACCTGACCATGCCCGCTGTGTAGCTAAAGTTCTCGACATTACTCGACATATTAAGTATCGACCACCTAAGCCGATTTAAGAGTATTCATAATTTGAAGTGAAAACACAATTCTCAACGATCGTGAGTGGTAGAAATTATGTTTGCCTTCAGTTATGGGTGAGACCATTCGGTAAGATCTACAAATCACTCGATTTATAGATAAACCCGTTTCACACTTTAAACGCAAGGTGAACAAACCGAACGAGGAATGGATCGGCGGCTTCCGGTTAGCGAGAGCAAAAAGAAGCATTAAGGTGAGTTACTGCTCACCTCTACTTATACTTTTCACTTCGAACTCACGACTTTCCAAAAAACTTAACAGACTACGACGACCGAAGTGAAGACTCGGTAACTTACACCCCAAAAGGCAACACTGCAAGCCCCGCCCCTAGGCCACGCCCACATGTGGATTTAGTTTGAAAAGTCGTGAATTTTGCAACGATATACATACAAAATGGGCGAAAGAACCTGCCAATATTTGACTAGCACCCGGGAGCACTTCTGAGCAAAACTGTTCTGCAGAACAGCGGAAGCACTTGCCCGATCCTTTGGAATATGTCGGGATGATGTTGCTGTTGGAGCGGCCTTTTTAGTGGAAGACAGACGGTTTCAACGTTGCAGTATCACAAATTTTGCTATACGTGGGGCCGATTTCCGGTGAGCAGTGATGTAAGCTTGAAGAATCTCCCATCACAGTTGGCGTACATCGAGTTCTGCGCTTTCTCCATTTCTGTTCGTGGTCGCCGTAGATGCTGCCTCACGCGATCTTCAGAAACTGACTTTCTGGACGTTTCTCAATGCAGATGATGTGGCGCTCGCGAGCAAATATAAGAATACCTTCTTCAGAAGGTGCAAGTCTGGTCTGTTCTCCTCGCAAAGTTCGGGCTCAACCTGAACACCAAGAAAACGGAGTATCTGACGACCTACTCAAAGTATTAGATTCGCGGGGAAGTTCACACTTTTCGAATTCAAAAACTTGCTCATTACCTGGAGAGAGGCAACTGGTAATGTGGCACTTATGAATCAAGGAGTAGTCTTTCTATTAGTACCACTCGCTTGACTCCTGCTTCTCTTCTGCAATATCACCTGTATCACCTGTATCCGACTTGTCTTCGTGTGTTCCTCCATTCACATAAGTCGACTAACCATCCATTCAGATCCTGTGCGCGTCTTCTCCATTGTTGGCCGGAACATTTTCACCATCGGATCGGCCCATCTCATTTTAGGCCTTCCCAGCGGTCGTTTGTGATCCAGAGGGATCCAATCAGTTAGCCGGGAAGTCCATCTGTTATCTCTTAGGCGCGCCACATGGCCGGCCCATTCTCGTTTTCGTTTTGTACAATTCCTGGACAATATCAACAAAGCCACTTCGCCTTCGAAGTTCCGTGTTCGAGATATGATCACGCAATGATATTTTGCAAATTCTGCGCTTCCATTGCCCTAATAGCAAATTTCTCCTCGTCTGCTTTAGTGGTTGACCAGCACTCCGCGCCGTACAGCAGCGCGGGTACAACGGTGGAGTGAAACAGAGACGCTTTTATTTTCATCGCGAAGGTTTCGTCTAGCAGTATCGTTGAGATTTTGTTGAAGCTAGTTCAAGCTGCTTCCCTGCGCCTGCTGAATTCCTCTTCAATAAAGCTAGCTGGTACCCTAAGTAAACGTGACTCTGGACTTCTTCTATTTCTCGCCTTCGACATGTAATCTCCGCTCATAGGACTGAACTGGTTTCTCATCCATTTCGTTTTGGAGAGGTTCATCTCGAGTCCAATCTCCTTTGATTTATTCTGTAGTTGAACCAGCTTGTCCTGAAGCTCTGTTGCGTCTTGTGCAAAAATGACGCAATCGTCCGCAAAAAGCAAATGCGTAAGATTTTCGCCGTCGATTTCAATGCCGCCGCTCCAGTTCAGACTACCTCCAGCGTTATTGCAAAGAAATTCGGCGAAATCGTATCTCCTTGACGTACGCCCTTGCAGATCTTTATATGACAGGGGTCGTTGAAGAGCTTAATTTCTGTACTGCAACCGTCGTTTAGCTCTTCCAAGAGGTCGACGTAATTTGCATTGATACCATATCTGCTCATCGAATTAAGGCTTCCCTGTAATCGACAAATGCCAAGCAGAGAGGAATTTGAATTCTCCACATTTTTTAGCAAGCTGACGTATAACATGTACAGTCCTCATCATTGCGGACCGGTGGGGCGTGTCAGCCAGTATGAGTGTGCACACTGTTGAAGCCGTTCTCAGCCTTTTTTGAAACGCGTATGCGACAAAAAGTGGTAGAAAACGAGTAATACGAAGGATATAATACAGTAATGTCACTTGCCCGCTTCAACAACTGGTGCAGAACGACTTTGGCACCGCGCCAAACGCAGCCGCACTGACACGCCCCACCGGTCCGCAATGATGGACTGTAAATCCTCATCATCGAGCGTGGGTGTAGCCGCTTCGGAAGCCGGCCTGTTCTCTACTCATGTCCTTGACAATACGGTTTAGGATTACTCTTAAAGCCTTACATACTTGAGACAAATGTTTGTTAGGCCTGTAGTTGTTAAAATTCTCCGGATCTCCTTTTTTCAACAGCAGTATCGTCTTCGATTTATTCCACGCCGCTGGAACTCCTCCTTTGACTCAGTTGGTGAAGCTTTCTGCCAGCGCTTTCAATAGAGTTATTCCGATTTGAAGAGTACAAATCGTTGAAAAACTTCGTGCAAATTCCATTCATCCGCTTGACGATTTGTCGTGCGAACACCTAAATTATCCTTGAGAGCAGAGGGAATCTGTTGCCTGAGACGGACATCTCTTTCCACTGTTTTCAGGCTTGCCCTCTTTTCTGCCGCTTCACGAAGCTTCTTTTGCCTATATCCCTCATAGTCTTCTTTTATGTTCTCCCTTATCGTTTTACAGAGAGTTCGATATTCGTACTCCGATGCTCTAGACTCTCCATTCGGCCCCCATGCGCGCTCTCTTTTGCATTATCCGAACCCCTTCCGCTGACACGCGTTGTCTTCTTTCGGGTTCTGCTGCAGTGCTGGAAGCTTTTATAGCGAGTGTTATTTTCTCCACTAGTTCGTCGTAGTCAGCGTCGATGCTTTTCTCAGTGTCCATCCGCAGGTCTGACAATGCTACTATCTCAGTGAATGCATCGGCATTGAAAGTGTAGCGTATGAGTGTTCCTTGTGAGTACAGTACTCGATTCTCTCTTCTTCGATCTATTAGGTTGGTGCATAAGTTCTTAGCCACGACTTTTTCGTAAATATCTCAATAGCGAACCAACCTGAAGATTAGAGGTATGCACCATCACCATGAACTACTCGTCGCCAGCGCTCAGGCAGCTTGTCGATTCCATCCTCCCAGAACGGGGGCTGGGACCCGAAGAAGGCCACAATGCCGCACAATCACCACTGTGACATGGTTTTGCACTGGTAATTGTGCGGCATTGTAGCCTGCAAATGCAGGGTGGGTGAGTGATAGCTAGTGTGGTGAAAGAGTATCATGTACACGTCACGCACACGTGATGACGAAATACCAACCTCCATGCAAACGAAATACGGAAGGATCAAAACAGGGGGCCGAGAACTACATAGGAACATTGTTGAAAGAACTAGACGATGATCACTGCAATCACATTTTCAACTATAACCGAAAAGTCAGCAAACATTCTTGGCGTATCTGTCATTACATAGTCGATCTGCCTCAGAATCTTCGTATCCGGGCTTCTCCACGTCCACAGACGTTTTGGCTTCTTCTCGAAAAATGTGTTCATGATTGAGAAATGGTGTTGTTCCGCGAATTCGACCAGGCGTCTTCCTCTGTCGTTCCGTACGCCTGTGCCGTATTTGCCGACAAGGTTTTCCATATCCAGTCTTGCGCCAACAATTGCATTGAAGTCTCCTTGGACAATGGTGTATGTCGATTTGATCTTCAACGCCGCTTCTATTTCCTCGTAGCAACGCTTCAACTTCATCATCTTCTGCTGCCGCTGTGGGTGCATACACCTGCACGATTTTGAGCGTTCGTTTCCCCATGCTTTGTATCTTGATTTTCAAAACAGCGACACGTGGGGACAAAAAATCGCAGGAAATGATGTGCGGAACCATTCGGTTTTACGATGAAACCGACTCCACCAGTTCTTGACACGTTGTCGGCACCTTTTCCCAAAAAAAACTTCTTCGCCACTCGTCCACTTTGCCGAGACTTCTTTCGCTCTCCTTGTCTCGCAGACACCGACGATATCAGCTTTGATCTTTTCCAGGTGCTGCAAGTATACATCTAGAAGAGGATCCGTCGATAGAGTCCTGACATTGTGGGAGGCGATGTGCAATTTGATGACATGTCCGTGGTCCTTATCCTGCCCCTTCCTTACACCGAGGTGTGGGGTTATTGTATGGAGTCGGGGCATCTCCATACACCCATCTCGGTTCCGAGTCTTCTTTTCCTTTCTGCCGATTTTTTTGCAGCAGTACGTTCGGCTTGGCAGCCCTCTTGTCCTATAGCCGCTGTTTTTTTACTCGATTGTTCGCGGCTGCTTATTCGATACCAGCTTGGCTGACCCGCACTACTGCGCGCATGGTAGAAGCTTTGGTAGGGGTGATAATCGCCGACAGGATTTCTGTACTGACCTCAAGCACTCAGGCCCAATTCCTATTTTTTGATACGGCCCATTTCATAACATTTTTCTTATTTAACGAATATTTGTCAAGGTCTTGTGCCTATCACCATTCTAAAAAACACTCACCATTCGTTGGATATAGGACAGCTTAGCGGTTGAAATAGGTTCGATGGTAAT